CTCTCAGTATTTTTTACTGATATTCAGTTCAGCTATTGCGAAACACCGTGAGCGAGCAGCGCCAGATACATGGCAGTCGTTTAACACACGTACACGCAATTTTTGAGGGTTTTTAATTTTTTTTTCAGTGCTATTGCTTACTGCGGTAATTTCTGGGTGTGCCAGTGTAGTGGATTGCAGATTATCGCATTACAGGTCACTTCTCTGAAAAGAAAGGTAGACGAAGCGGTTCATGCACCACCTCTCGTTCCACTTGCTCGAGCGTCGGCTGTCGGTCAGATGACATACTCGACCACGATTTCGTCTGAATTCGCTTCGCTACCAGAGGTGCCCTCCACTAGTGGGCACAGCTACAGGAGAACAGCACTTATGGCGGTTGCCTGAGTCGCATCTTCAGCGGTTGAAGGCTGAACTGGATTTCTTATCCAGCGGGGAAGGAGCAGTCGTCGCGTTGCCGCCTGCAAAGCTGGAGCGGCCGATGCACTACGGTAGGGCGAGAAGAAAGATAGTATACACGAAGAGGAAGGAAGGCGAAACAAGGTATGCCATTTCTAATGCTGATATTCAGCAAAGTCCAGAAAATGTCGCGATAAGAGGGTGAAAATCCAGTGGGGTGGACTCCTTCTTATCTTACCCTTAGTCCTAGAGGGTAGAACTTATTTGGGCGCACTTTTGATAAGGACCGGTGGATGTCCTACATTCCACACCTCCTGCCCACATCCCATCCAATTTTCTGCACCAGGTGATCCACCCTGGAGCTCCTCCACCCTTAGGCCGAGGCAAAGGTCTCCATTCCCTGGTTCGGACCGTTTCCTTGGACCATTGAAGGGGGAATAGAGGAAGCACCACATTGTTACTTTCACACTACACCAATACTCATCAGAAGTACATTTTAAATAATCGATTACGTGTCACAAACGCTCTCGTTCTTATTTCAAGAATTGGAGACACAATGGAGTGCTCCCCCCCCCCCCCTTAATTGATTTGCACCCAATAGGTAGGAGCGCTAGGTGGGTGTCCCTGGCTTCATATTATTGGGAATTTGTTCAAAGCATGCGGAGCGTATGGGTTCTCTGTTAGACGAGATTCAGGGTCGAGCTGGCGGGGGTGGAGGCTATGGCGATTGAAAATGACAGCAAATTACAACTAGCGAAGAAAAATGGAAAGAAACTGTATGTGCATGCGTGTTCGGACGAGTTTTCCAAGTGTTTTCTAAAATGCAACATATAAGGACGCCAATATCGTCCGACAAAAAAGAACAGAGCCGGCTCCCCATTTTTAATTTAGCTCCTATTTCAGTTCATCCTACCACTAGAGGCTACCCAATTGAGGCGACAGGACCACACATAATGGCGGACACGAAGGTAAAGTGAATTTTACAAGCAATGAGCAACATGCTACAACAGCTACACCGTCAATCGCTCATTTCGACTCTTAGAATTTTAGCCACCTCAAATGACTGTCACGATTACACAGTGAGGTTTGCTGCCGCGCTCAAAAGTCCAAAAATTTGGCTAAACTCAGTAGACGAAATTTCATATCACGAGTTCTTGAGAATGAAATATTTGGTGCCATTCTCAGAGTTTTTTCTCTTTCCTGTCCGACATTCTACATTGAGGACATTGAGAGAGAATGACAAGGAAGATTATGCAGAATATTACGTTCATCTACTGAACGCATCTACTG